AGCCAATGGGAAGGGTAGCGAAGGTACAGCTAATTATCATGTTTCTCTTTTATTAGATAGGATATTTCATTTTCAAAATTGAGCTATCAGCTGTTAAAGTATATATACATACTTTGGGGGATATATATATATATTTCTTTGATGCTGAGGCAAAGAGGAAATTTCATGTTGCCCTGGCCCCAGACCCTCTCTCAACCAGGGACATTGGGACTTTGGGGCTGTAAGCCCAGCTTCCCAGATCGTCTCTGCTTCCTGGGGTGTCTCATCTGCAACTTCTCCCTGTCAGGATTCCTATTCATGTATCAGCTGTGTGGCCCAATTGCGATCTCTTCTTTTTATTCGCTGGTTTTTAGTTGTTTATCCAGGTTTATTCATCTGCTTCTCTTTGAATTTGTTATCTAAATATATATCTGCTGAGCATGAATTATTTTTACTTCTTTTCCTTCTAGTTCCCTGGCCAATTTTGAAAGCTGCCTCTCTAAACAGTCAATTTATAAGTGGGTGATTCGGAACATCTTTAAGCAAAGCTCAATCTCATTATTTTTATAAACCCCCTCCTTCCTTTCCGCTCTCCTCCCCAAGAAACACCAACTCCATAAAAATCATGTGCTGTGTGAGGGACGTGGAGACATAATGAAGCAAATCCTGGGAAATGTGGTTGGTAGAACTATCCCTGGGAGCAGATGGCAGTTCTGAAGCAAAGGATGCTGGCACCAAGGATGTCTCTTGAGACAGGCAGTGATGTGACAGCAGCACCCTTGGGAGGGACATTTGAAGTTTGGGGACAATGAGGCCATGGGGACCACATGTAGTAGCACAGCTGCTTTGGTCACACACCATTTACACTGGGTGCTCTGAAAGGACAGATAGCCCTGCCTCTCAGGGCAGCACCATCTCTCAGGGTATCTATAAACTTAGAGCAGGCTGCAGAGGTGGCCTCATCCTAGCCTAAGTTAGCTCTCAGCCCATCTGTTACCATTTATCTGGGTCAGTGATACTTAAGAATTTAACAAGTTAGAAGAAAAATAGTCTAGCTTGATTTGGGTTGCTTTTTCTTTTTCCTAATAGAGAATCATCTGTAACCCACCTACATTACATGTGTCCACTCCTAGATAAGGGTCTCTGGTGATCTATTCAAGTTTAAGAATTCATGTTCTTGTGGATATAAAATAGTTGTTTAAAAACCTAATTGTTCATAAATCAAAAAAAACCTCTACAGTTGCTATTGCACTGGAGAAACTAGACTATAGTGAGATATAATATTTTCCAGAGGAAAACATTTGGATCTAAACTAAGG